GGGGGGGGGAACATCAATAATTGATTGGTCAAGAATGCCTTGAATAAGAATCAACAAAATCCTGTCTCACTGTCTGCATTGCTGCGAAAACATAAACCCCGGGACTTGATTGATTTTATAGGAAATCCTGATTCAGTAATTCAGGGTACCGTATTTTTTTAGCGAAGGATGACGGAGTCGAATACGAGGAATGTTCGGTTTCTGAACAAAATACGGCGTGGTGTAAACGGCGTTTTAGCTGGTAATTTTCTGCCGTAAACATTCCAAGTCCCCTTAATCGTTGAAATCTAGACGAAAAAAAAAAACCTCCCGCTTTTCGTCTTGCTCCATTTGTAAATGACTTCGAATTGATGACTTACATTTACGAAATTTCAACGCTTGTGTGCCCTAAAATTTCCGACGTATTCTTGAGTTTTGAATTTACGTGAGGAAAATTGCGAAAACAATCGATGTAATGATGAAAAATTAGTCAAGGAATTATTGGGCATTCATTTTTTCTGACTCCGTGCGGAAACCGACATCCCTGAAATTAAAAAGTACGAAATTCGAAATCGTCGCGTTTTGTTTGACAAATCAATCGTGTTTCTCCGAACGTTCAGACACTTTTATTGAAAATATTGGAAAAAATTTCGGCTCAAGAAGCCTTAATCGAAGTACAGTATAAATGTGTTGCGAAGCCCTTCACGCCTTCACTTCATATGTGCTCCAAATATTCTTGAAATTCAGAGCCAAAAACATTCCACAGTATCTTATGTGGTATCTATACTGTAGTCAAATTTATTTTTTCTTCTTTGCTGACTGCGTATTTCTGTGACTCGAATTTAATTCAAATTAATGTTTCCATTTTCTTGAAGCAACCGTGAAGTCCCTGGAAAATTTATAATTCCTCTTGGGACTCCGCAGTGCTCAGATTTTCCAACTTTGCACTTAATTTGCATCAAAGCTTCTCAGCACGGTTTGGTACAATATTCCGCCATTTCTTATCTTTTCAATTGTGAGATTATACAGAAACCTAACAGAGCACCCAATTATTTCTCAAGAGGTCTACATTAAAGCTGTCAGGGGCTCTGAAGCCTCTCTGGCAAAGATTTCGGATTTGTTGAATAAGGTTGGCAAAAATAAGGTGTAAACACAATCAGCCGTTTGCGGCCTGAGGTTTAAGTACCTTGACATGAGTGTATGTTTCTCCCTTTTGATTTTGTTCAAAAATAGTCAGCACACACAAATGATAGGTCTGTTCTCTTCAGAGCTCAGGAGTCAAGTGACACTTTTTTCAAATGAATTTGAGCAGATCCACGTCCTCTTCAAGCAGAAAGTTTTCGCAAGGTTTTCTGCTGGTATGTCCAATTGTTGTTTGCACAGAATCCAGTTAATTCCCATGATAATAGCTGATTCACACAAGTGGAATAAGCCTTGGAAATCATTATCTCCAAGGCTGGCCTGTTGGTGGGTTTCTTTGGAATCTTGTTTTTATTTCTGTTTGTATTTTGTTAATAACTTTTGTGTTTGTAAAAAGGTATTGGCTTTGAAATATGAGGACAATGTGGTGTTTTGTACGCCACATTGCTCTCTCATACTTTCCAATGCCAGTTCCACTTGGGCAACATCTAGTTGGCACGAGTTAATTGGCGCATCAGCGGGCAACATCTGGTCAACCTGTGACAAAAGCCACAAAAACATGGGGGTTGTTGCAAATTTATTCAGATGTTTCAAGGAACAGAGTAATTTTTCAGGTCAGCCTTCCCAGTAAATTTAATCTCTCAAAGAGTGAGCACCAAATGGCAATTTCTGCTTCAAGTCTTGCCATAAAAGTGACAAGTTTTGGTAATTTGCCAAAACTTGTCCTTGGATACTTCTGTGAGAATTGGGTTTCACCCTAGCTCAAGCCAGAAATAGAGAAGGACTAATGGTTAAAAAAATCCCAAATCTTTAGAAACTTGAAACAGTAACTATATACAGTATAAATTAACTGAATTGTATGTTAAAATCTCAGTCCAAAATCTCAGTGGAAATTTCCAAGTCCCTGAAAATCCTTCCTTCCAAAATGTTCCAAGCAAGGACATCACTGTATCTCAAACCTCTGTACTGTGTGGTTCTATGAGTACTTGGCAAATTTCATGTTGAAATACTTGCCGAAATATATCAACTTTAAAATAGGGTGTTTTCAAGCAGCCCAGTTGTAGTCCAACCAAATTCTTGTACCTTTCATTTCTACTTCATTTAAAAAGGAGAACTCATTCCCCACAAAAGCAGTTACTGGAGCAAAACTACTACCGTATATACTGTATGGTCTTCTTGCAGAGGTTCTCTTGTGCATTCAATCACGTTTGCTGATAACGTAGCCCTGATCGTTTAGAGTAGGACTCGAGAAGATCTGTTTGTCGTCAAAAGATACTGTAGCTGGTTTTCTTGGTCTATTCGTGTGAAAACTTGAGTTTGTCAGACATGTATAAGGCTAAGGGGAAGCAGATGTTGGACTAAAGAGGAAGGCTGTGGGATTTTTGGCTTCCGCTCGGAATTCAACGGTCAAGGTGGAACTGTGTGATGCTTATAAATCTGATTGTGATCGCCTTGATTCGATGATTATTTATTTTCGCGGGAAGATAATTTTTTCATGCAATCGAAGATGAAAGCCGGTATATTTTAACCAGTTCACTTTTTTTCATTGGTTGGGAACGTTGGGTTCTGAGTCAGTACGATCCTTTCTTGAATTTCCTACGTGATGATGAATGGGCTAAAAGTTGTTCACATGTTTTGGGTTGAGCCAGAGTGCGTTAGAAAATTTTAGAAAAATTAGTTGATCAATGGGGAAAAGCTATCATGAAATTTATGTGAAGTACTCATGTTTTTTCTGACTCTTCGGAGCAATCGGATATTTTAGTAAGTCATGCTGACGAAAAAAAAATTTAGTGGACGACACTTAATGATATTTCATTCTTCGAAAGACATTTAAGAGTCACCGACATTTCCCGCTAAATTGCATGTGTTCTTAATGATTCAATTTCGATGGAAACTTTTATTTTTCGCATTTTAGTTTCCTTCAGCAATCGTGAAGTGATTCTGTTCATTTCAGGAAGTACTGAATATTGCGTTTTTATGCGTTTCGGTGCGTGGAAAAGGGAATGTATTACAGTACTTCGCTAACAAGTCTACGGTTTTCGAGACGATAATTGATTTTCTGCTGACGAAGATCTTTTGTCATCAAAATACAGTATACTTTTTCATGAACCGCTGATGTCGAAATATTTGAATCACTGTACAGTACTCCAGCTCATGTGATTTTTTTTTTTCAAAGATTGATGTGCCTCTTGGCATTTATTACAACCGGAAATTGGCCTGGTACTTCTGTTTCAAGGCTTATGTATTCCCGCAAAAATTGCTTTGGGCGTAAAAAAAAAAAATCAAGGTTTTGCTCCTCTCTTATCAATAAATATGTTTAATTTTTACTGTACTCCTTTTATTACTACATTAAATCTGGCATTCTACAGTTTTTGGTTGCGCCAAATGTTCAGTTGAAATAGTTGACCTTACTGTCTGTCTGACCTGCAGGAAAGAAATCGAAGATTGCCCGTGCAGATTTATACACTGTGGGATAAGATGCTGGAAACTTGATGCTAAGTTTATTTTCCGATGAGGTGATCTCGATTGATGAACGCTTCCGGTTTGTTTTTCAAGTTATTTTTACATATCTTCGTAAATCGTCTTCATAGTTTCGTTTTGGGAAATGAGGGCACTTTATTTTTGCGCTCGAGTGGAACGCAAGTTTTTCTCTCGCAATGTTAAATAGCACACATTTACGAATGTCATTTTCAATGACTAATGTTTGATTTTTTTTTTGGGATCATCTACTGTATTTCCAACGCCTTCTTTTGTATGCAGCAATAAAAATATTAGAACGTTATTAAACGACAGAAGCGGTGCTCTTTCTGAAGCTGGTTGAAAATGAAATCTTAGACGCATGTTTTATGTACCAGTATTTAAATTGTCTGTACCTTTCGTTTTTTTCTGAAGCATTGCAGGGCTTGAATTCTTGAAAAATATTGCTTGATCATCAAATGTTCATTATACTAAAGAATGCACGTGGGACAGAATAACAGTACTATAATCCATTTTTATATCGAAGAAAATTCATGAAATTTTAATGAAGTCTTGGTAAGATAAAGATTTCGTTTGTTTAAATTCATCTGCATTTGTTCAGTTTTTACTGACAGTCAATTTACGAATTTCCGGTCCCGTTTCGAATTCTTGTTCCGTTTCTGAAAGGCGCAAAATAATTTTTTTAGCCCTTTTACGACAGTAAGCAACTTCAAATCATGAAAGTGAGTCGAATTCATGTAATGAAGTACTGTGTGTATAATTGTGTATTTGTTTCCAAACCTTGGGAGTGGTTTTGCAGCAAATAAGTGGCAAAGAAAAAAAAAAGCTGTCCTCGAATGCAATAGAATAAATTTAACGGAACCATCATTAAAATAAAATTGAAATCAAATTGAACCAAAATTAAAATTGTTGTAAGCATACGGATGCTCAAAGAAATGTATTGTTGACGTGAACCAAAATTCCAAAGCTCCGCGAATCCATCTGTAATCCACAGTAATCACTAAAATATAATAATACTGTATAACAAAAATATGATGATTACAAAGATTCAGTAATCACAACAATTCAGTAATTGAAAATTCAGTAATTTAAAAAATGCAGTAAATAAAAAAAATTGACTCGTGCATACATTTTCAAGAGTATGGATAATAAAAAATATAGTGGACGGGAACCAAAATACCGCGGTACATTTGATATGAACATCCATGTGCAAAATTTCCAGCACGGCATCATTTCAACTTATTTTCTGTTATCTTTCGAGCTGACGAGACGTTTTATCCCCTCCCCTTGTCTTCCTTAGGATTACGATGTTTTTAGCATGGCATTATTTCATCTTTATCTTCTATTACTTGCCGAGCTGACGAGACGTTTTCTGCATCCTTTCTTTTTTGCATCTTCTTTAGGATTACGATGAAGCGGATTCGCGGCGTGTTCGCCTGTCGGGATATGGTGTCGAGTTGCAGATGAAGTCAACTGAATACAAGGCCCAGGACGATGCGAAGGTTGACGACGAGGATCGAGCCACTGACGACGAGGACAAAGTCGACGAGATTGAAGGATTCGTCTTTTCCAGGCTCAGGTTAGAGCTTCGTATAGTACTTTTTTTATTCTCGGCACTTCAAGTATTTCTTTTCTTTTTTTTACCCGAGTAAAAATTTGCTGCCCCCATCGATTTTTTTAGGATTGCACCAATTTTCAGTACATTGTTTGCGTGACACTTCTGGATAATGTTTTGGACTATGATCGACGCATCTTTATCTGGAATAAACGAAACCTCCTGAAATGGACCTGATTCTTTTCAGAATTTAGAGTCTCAATTGTATTGCATAAATTTGAACTTCAGGACCTTATTTTTCTGATTGTTCTTGGAAATTCCTGGAATATGAAGTTATTCATGTCATTCTTCCGAGTGCAGTAATATTTGACCCTAATTGATATCTCAAGCAAGTTGTGATACGAAGATTAATTGTACCGCCCTATTTTTAATGCAGTGAAATCTCAGTTCAGTGAAGCGAAACCCCAGGGACCCATGACAATTTTTTATAATCAATATTTTTTTAAATCTATTTTTTATAATTCCTGACATTTTCTTATTTTTATTCAAACATACCTCATGTTTTCAGTACAGTATCAATTTTTTTAGGTTTGTGAAATGTTCAGTTTGTATGGGTCTATTTTAACGTTGCTGTGACGCGTCTTTTACCATTTAAGTTCATATGAGCGTTACTGAAGATATCATATATCTGATGTAATTCATCAGCTTTGTCTAACATTAGATTGTTATGGTAACCCCTGTGTAATCCCATGGAACAAAAGAGTACAATTAAAGGTTACTTTTCTTTATTGCTTACGTAGTTGCTCTAAAAGGAAGTTTTTCATTCCTGCTATTGTCAAATCACTGTATCTGGCGTTACGGAAAATGTGGATATTTCGGGGCTTTGAATATCTAATTAACGAATGCAGGCCTAATTTGAAAACGTTTTCGGTAATTAGTATATAGGAAATTGGAGTTGTGCGGAAAACTAGTATGAATTCACCAGCTGCGTGTCATTTTTTGCAGACAATTATTCTGTTGATTATCAGTTATATTCGTATTGTTGGACATTACAGTACAGTAATGCATCAAGCGTGGGTTTTCTATTTGACCCTTTTTCAGCACTTTTTTTTTTTTTTTTTTTTTTTTTTTTTTTTTTTTTTTTTGGTTTTTTTTTTTTTTTTTTTTTTTTTTTTTTTTTGCGGATTGTTGGTGGGATTCTTGCGACGCGAAGTCGTGCCAAGGCCTTCGTGCCAAGAACCGACCTCTTTTCTTGGGTTGATGTACGTTTTCCGAATAAAATTCCCTGCCGGAATTTCCCGAGGGTCATTTTTCCCCTTGTTTTAAGGCATTGTGACTCGTGTTTAGTTGAGTGCTGTGAGTCTTCTGAACCGAACTTTTCCTCGTCTACGTTCCGTCTTTCTTCTTTTTTTTTTGCCTTTTTTTTTCGTCGGAGGACATTGAATGAAAGAGAAACTTTTCGCTTTTCCGGACTTGGCATGAAATGAGAGTTGGCCGGAACTTTTGTTTTGTCTGACGTTGACGAGACTGCATTGATTGAGCAGCGTCTGGTCGTGGCTTTTTTTTATTTTTTTACGATGCTGATTTAAATTATATCTTGTATCATTGTTGGATAATCGAGTACAGTACTTGGTTATCTGCACAGTACAGTGGTGCCTTCGTTAACGAGCTGAATCCGTTTAAGCGGGAAATTCATTATCCAAGATGTATTTTCAATTTTGTAATGATAAATTGGATAGGTTTGGCTCATCGCTTCCAGATCCACGAAAATCTCTCAGTAATGCGTTTTGTAGGAAAAATGTTTCACTCCAGATCTTTTGGAAATCCCCGTCTAATTATTGAATAAATTGAAAAGCAAAGATATTTAAAGCGTGAACTATTCCGTAGTACTGGCAAAAACACTTGGGATGCTAGCTTTTACTTGTACAGTATTTAATGTTGGCTGCCAGATTTCCTTACCAACTTTGATTTTCTGAAGTATGATCAGTCTCTTGGTCTATGCGAAGCAAAAGTTGGTGTCATCCATTTTGCTTCGATTAAGTTGCTTGTCTTCTTAAAAACTGTTTCAAAAGCGATATTTATTCCTACCTTGCATTAAATGAAGGTTCCTAATAAGGAAAACAATTCCTCTGGCATTCCAGTTTTTGAAAAGAGCAGATGAACGTGTCGAGAATTGAAAACCTCAAGCTTAACGCTTACATAATCGGGTAGTATAAGTAGTTTGTTCAGCTTTTTGTCGATTATGATGTTATAGGATCATTCGTCCCAAAAATATGAGAAACATGTTCTGATGAATCAGAAGTTACCAGAAAATGATACGAGATTAAAACAGGATTTTTTTTCTTTTGCAGAACAACATACCATATGTGATGCCGAACTTCCATATGTTATGCCAATTTTATGATCTACACTTGTTTGGTGCGCAGTCAAATCAAATTCGTTTCTGCTGAATAAAAATCCTGAACGAAGTGTTTTCTTTTTTCTTAAGTTGTGTAAACGATATTTTCTTACCTTTTTTGCTTAAAAAATATTTCCTGATTTTCTAGCTTCAATTACGTACCAAAAATATAAAAATATGACCATGACAAAAATGATCATGTTCTAGGCTGTATTTGTAGAATCAAGCTTTCACTTCGTCAATTTTCTTCAATTAGACTTGAGGTGTGTGGATACTAAATTTCGTATAAATATTTCAGAAGCCAGCTCTTCGAGATTCATTCTTGCTACGATTTAAAAACTGTTTCAAAAGCGATATTTATTCCTACCTTGCATTAAATGAAGGTTCCTAATAAGGAAAACAATTCCTCTGGCATTCCAGTTTTTGAAAAGAGCAGATGAACGTGTCGAGAATTGAAAACCTCAAGCTTAACGCTTACATAATCGGGTAGTATAAGTAGTTTGTTCAGCTTTTTGTCGATTATGATGTTATAGGATCATTCGTCCCAAAAATATGAGAAAAATGTTATGATGAATCAGAAGTTACCAGAAAATGATACGTGATTAAAAGATGATTTTTTCTTTTGCAGAACAACATACCATATGTGATGCCAAACTTCCATATGTTATGCCAATTTTATGATATGCTCTTGTTTGGTGCGCTGTCAAATCAAATTCGTTTCCGCTGAATAAAAATCCTGAACGAAGTGTTTTCTTTTTTCTTTAGTTGTGTAAACGATATTTTCTTACCTTTTTTGCTTAAAAAATATTTCCTGATTTTCTAGCTTCCATTACGTACCAAAAATATAAAAATATGACCACGAAAAAAATGATCATGTTCATCCGACATAAACATCTTAGTTCGAAAGTGAAGCAGTTAAAAGAAGTTAATCTGAACTCCACACACCTATGATTTAAAGCATATTTATAAAGTCTTCGGTCGAGAAGCTCTAAGTAAGAACGATGCTATCCATTTGAATGAAGCGCTAAAACCCAAGGTTTTCAGGAGTACCGTAGTTAGGAATGAATATCGATGCAGCTTTCGGAAAAGCCGAATAAATTTTTTCCGAGCTGTGGGTATGCGCAGGATTCGGAAGAACGACATTGTTCACGGGAAATAAGTCATGTCCTTCCTGTGCCGATTTCACAGAACACGCAAAAAGAAGAAGAATCAGATAGTTTTCTCAATAAACCTCACTTCCTCTTTTCCATTTCCCTTCATGTTATTTCTGTTTTTTTTTTTAAGAAAGAGAAACTGTTCCGCGCGACGAGGAATAACCCACGACCAGTTGACCTTTCGCCCGGTACTTGTCGCACGAGATTTCACTTGGATAAAACCCGACGTCTCGGTTTCCTTTCCACGAAAGTCGGGTGTTTGGTCGATGTGATGTGTCGAAAAGTCCGTGGGACAAATAGAATATCTTGACTTTTCTTTGTATATACGACCCTGAGGAGAGGGGTCAATGAAAAGAACTCGGCCAGCGTAGATGAAAAGATTGTTTCGCAACAGCTCAAAGTGGCTGCCTTACTTAGCCCCGTAAGCACGGGACTAAAATAACACTTACTGAAACTCCAGCCAACGTTTTGGACCCCCCTTTCCCTTTAGAACCCTTTTTATTACTTTCGCAAATTTTTTCCTTCTTCAGTTTCGTCAAGTTGTTGGTTTTGCAAGGCGAAGACCGTTATTGTAATTTAATTTTCCCTTTTTTTTACTGTATTTTAGTTTTATGCGTACTTTTCTGGTGCATTTTGATGCATTCAAGAGACGAATCGAGTTCGGCGCACTTCCTCTAACTTCGCTGTTTTATTCGTTTCTGATTCAATTTCGTATGCTGTTCGGATTTTCATACCCTACAATAAACGCTTTTTTGATGTTCCTTTTTTCTGATGCAACGATTTTGTCTGGATGTTTGAGCATTGATAAATGTGCGAAAAATATTGACCACATACAAGTATGACCTTCATTTCGCTCTCTGATTCAGTAAGTGTTTTTCTAGGCAAAATTTAATAATGCATAATTTTCTAATTATGTTTAAATAATCCTATTGTGCGAAATTTGTTTGGCGGCAAAGGACGCCGCCGCGAGAAAAAGAGGGGTCCGTTGACTTGAAATTTAATCGGCGCATCTCGGGATGCGCCGGAAAAGACGAGAACAAGAAAATTTGGCGCCCCAAAAAATCGGGGCAACAGAAAACCAAAAAATCCTGAAAAGGAATAGAATAGAACCAAAAAATAATCCCCGGAACCTGGGCAATTCGAGCTGCTTGTAAAAATCTGCGCACTCGTAAAATAAGGGAGACGTCTCCCTCAGCAAAAACTTCAAAACTCAGGGACAAACAAAAATTATTGCCAGCTGCTGGCGAAAAACAAGCAGAAACAGATCTTCTTTCCAAAAAGCAATTTATCTCTAAACTGCAAACTGTCCAAAATTGCCTTGACTTCCCCCAGAAAAACCCACTCCTGGGAACAGTATTTTTCTGCCAAAATCATTGCAAGATAATAAACTAAAAGCACCCGGTTACCGGGAGAAAAAACCATGTACAAATATTACAAAAGCAGCACTAAAAACCCACTGTTAAGATAATGAAATTGCGCCCAAAAACCAGGGAAAACTACGTTCAAAAAACAACGCAAAAGTCGTTGACAGCTGCCAACATCTGGCCAGTTTGTTGACTTTGAAAATCCCAGCACCAGGGTGTTTTTGAACCAAAAAATTCGCGCCAAAAGGGGGGAGGAAAGCTGCATAAAAACCCCCCGAATTTTGCGCAACACTACTAGTCAAACTTTGAAGGAGCTGCAGATAATCTTTGTACAATTTGAAATTTGAAAATCGCGGACTTGTCCAAAAAATTCGAGAACTTTTGCAGACTTACAAAAATTTTGGGAATTGTGTGAACCCTTTCGAAAACTTTGGAGCCTGTGAAACTTTTGTAAAATTTGACTGAAGTGTTTTTATAATCTTAACTTTAACTTCCAAAAAACTATTTTGAGCTTGAAGCATTCAAAAAGGCGTATTTGCCTTCTTTTTCTTTTTTATACTTG